AAAAAAAAAAAAGGCCAGGCATGGTGGTTTACACCTGTAATCCCAGCACTATGGGAGGCCAAGGCAGGAACATCAGCCTCATCAACATGATGAAACCCTATCTCTACTAAAAAGACAAAAAATCAGCCAGGCATGGTGGCACATACCTGTAATCCCAGCTACTTGGGAGGCTGAAGCATAAGAATTGCTTGAACCTGGCAGGCAGAGGTTGCAGTAAGCCAAGATTGCACTCCAGCCTAGGTGACAGAGCGAGATTCTCTCAACATCTGTGGGGAGGAGACTAAAGACAACTGACTCTGGCAGCCAAGGTGTTGGACCAGTTCATAGGCCAAACCCCTGTGTTCCCCAAAGCTAGATACATTAACAGATCCATTGGTATCAGGAGAAATGAATAGATTGCCACCCAGTACACAGTGTGAAGGCCCAAAGCAGAAGAAATCCTGGAGGAAGGTCTAAAGGTACAGGAGTGTGAATTAAGAAAGAACAACTTCTTGGATACTGGAAACTTTGGTTTGGAGATCCAGTAACACAGAGATTTGGGTATCAAATGTGACCCATGCATTAATATCTACAGCCTGGATTTCTACGTGGTGCTGGATAGGCCTGGTTTCAGCAATGCAGATGGGGAATGTAGAACAGGCTGCACTGGGGCCAAACACAGAATCAGCAAAGAGGAGGCCATTCGCTGGTTCCAAAAAGAAAAAATAAAAGGAAAAGACAAGACAGTATCAACAAGTAAAAAGACAACCCACAGTAATGGCGAAAAAATTTTTGCAGCTCATATATCTGAAAATATTCAAAATACATAGAATACTCCTAAAACTCAACAACAAAAAAGTAAATCAATTTAAAAATGAGCAAAGGACTTAAATAGACATGTCTCCAAAGATATACAAATGCCCAATAAGCACATGAAAAGCTGCTCAACATCATTAATCATTAGGGAAATACAAATCAAAACTACAATGAGATACTACCTCACACCCAATCCTATGGCTACT